TTATTTAACTATTTTACTATCATAGACATAGGCGCAGACTCCATAAATTCAAGTGTGTACAATATATATTAATCTATTTAAATTAATGTTTATATTAATTATAAATAATATATTATGCATTTTATAATCTAAATTCTAAAATAAATAAATAATGTAAATCATTTAGAAATTAAAGCCAATTATATTTTAAGTACTCTGGTCCTTACACAGTTAGTTAAATAAATATCTTTTTTGCTTTTTATGGAATAATTCACTGCCATATTTTAACTACCTATTTTATTTTTATGCACCTGAGCTCAAATTATATTTGATGGATACTCAATAAAAGAGGATACTACATTGGAACCAGATTAATAATTTAAGTCTGGTTTAAACCTGAATTTGAATTAATTTGATTAGATACATACATCATTTGCAATTGTTCTTACTGTCTTATGTTTTGTTTCATCTAATTGAAGGAGTTAAAATAAGTGGTTCATTCTTAAGAAGCACTTGATCATAATGTACAATGGTAAATCTATATTTGTATTCAAAATAACATTTATATACATGAGTGTATTAATGGTACATATTACTATGTACTAGTTTGCTATCAATGTCCCGATTTTATAAAAAATATCTGTTCAAATTAATCTAAGACCAAAGTTAAGATTTTTTTCAATATTTGGTGTTATATATATATATGTATTTTATTTTTTGTATGTTATAGAGAACATTAGTTCAAGTCAAAAAATGCTGGAACAATATTAAAACTAAAAGAAAATCAGAAATAACTGCCCATAAACAAAGATTAAGAACAGGGGGTGGTCCAGAAGTACCTAAACTATTAGAAAACCCAGCAATTGACCAATTTGCAAACATCGCACTTGAAATACCAGGTTCCATTGATAGTGATATACAATGTACCGTTACACCTGATGAAACTTTGGAATTTACTTGTTTTGATGATGAGAATCTATCTGGTAATTGTTAAGAAATATTTTGTGTGTGAATAAAAATTTATTTTATTACTTGTATTGTTGTTATAATAGATTCAAATGATAATGATGTTCAAACTTTCACTAAAAATATTGAAAATGAAGTAACTTTTAAACAGTTTAGTAATGAGAATGTGACTAGAACTAAGAAGGAAAAGCAACATCATAAAATCAATAATTTGAATTTTACTTCTGAGATATCATCTAGAATGGAAAGACTTGAAAATCAAAAAAAAAAATATGAAGAAATGCATGGTTTATTAAAACAAGAAATACTTTTAAAAATTGAAAATGAAAGGGAACTTTTAAAAAAAAGAAAAATAGAAACAGATATCTCAGAAAACGAATTAAATTTTCAGCAAGAAAGTCACCAAATGGTAATTGAAACATTGAAAAAAAAGATTAATATATGATAGTGATAGTAATTAGTTTTAGAGTTGTATTTTGTGTCTTAATACAGTCGCCAGGCTGCCCAAAGATATGAGATTTATGCATAAAAAAGGGTAATTTTTTTTGTTTGTATTATTTTTATTTTTTTCAACTGCCAAAGTTAGGTAGTATAATATTCATATTTCTAATATATTATTATATATAGTAGGAATATTAATTAGCATTGTTAATTATCAGTATAAAGAGTTTTTATTTTGTTTGTTAATATATTTTGAAGAAAATTTACTTTATATTTGTATAACCTTCTTGAAATATATTGTTTTTATATATTATTTTATTGAAATATATTGTTTTACTAAAATAGCATTTTATTGAATAAGTCTAATAATGAATACGGATCTTATTATATTGCCATGTAACAATCTGACTACGCTCGGTTGATGGTGTTGAAAATAAANTGATCTACTATCAACAACGAGACGTCAAAGCACGTCATTAAATAATTAAGTGTACAAGTGTAGTGCGAGAGTACTACACTGGTCAACAAAGGGTTAAGAGTAAACTTTGGGAGTAATTACACTACGTAATAATGATCTTTTGACATACCTGCCTTGATTAATATTGGTTACGTTGTTGTAGAAACTTGAGAGAACACAACTTGGAATGTGGTGAAATGCGAAGCCATTGTACACACTGGATTCGTTGTTCTTCTTTCTTGTTGTCATTGAGTACACCATTTTATTAATTGTATATTGAATTAATTAATTATTTCATGAAACGATAAAAAAAAATTAGGGCAATGCGTTTGCGTTTACTCGGCGGTAACAACGATAACGCAGAGGACCGACTGCGTGACGGCGAAAGCGATGTTGTGTACACGCATACGCCGTCGGTGGTGCGCGGGACGGTCGGGGTGCAGGGAACATCGGCGCCAGAAGTAGTTAGCCACGGCGACGTTTAATACATAATAATATGATGACGTGTACCAAACTACCAAACACGTTTACACGTTTTGAATGAGATCGAAGGACGTGTAGTGTATACGTTCATGGAAGAAAAACGATTAACACAAGACTCGTGAAAGGACTCCGCACTACACACAGTAAGTTGTCGGGTCCGTCAGAAGGTATAATATTGAGATCGCCGTGGTAGTGATGTCGTATCGTATGTACAGGTGGTACAGTATTCATGTCGCTATAATGAATGTGTTAAATTTGAATTCAATGATACCTATAATTTCATTGTATACGAAAAACGATTCTGAGCGAAGGTTGCGACAGGTCGTCTATCATAATATTACTAAATATATTTAATGATATTATTATGATAAAATGTATTTATTTTACTATTAGACATTAGCACCTACTACTTCCTACTACAGTTGCAGCTTTGCAGGTTAATACATTTTTGCTAAAAAATTGCATTTGAAAATGTCATCGTGTATACAAAATAAAATAATCTGTTTTCTAATTTTCAAATATCCTATAATAATATTTTTGAATACAACAAATTAACCAAAACCGAAATTCTTTGTTTAATTATCTAAATTCATTCAAAATTGAACTTAAAATGTTTATAAACAAAACGATTTATATATTTTTGAAATAATTTGGTTACAGTATGAACTACTTACGTATAACATTATTTTAAATTTTCAATACTTAGCTATAAAATTGAACATTTTATAAATTGTTAACATTAAATAACTTTCATTTTGATAAATGCTGTCAAAATCTTAGGTTTAAATGTTTTTTAAAAATATAGTGCCTATGTATTTTTAATATTTTTAAATTGCTATTGTAAAGATGTGTGAAGCTTTATACTAATTTTTCTAGCTTTTTGACTCAACAAATAAAATGCCATTAACATTTACAGAATTTAAAAAAAAGATAAAATTGAAAATGTCTGTAAGCAGCGCAAAATGATTTATATTTATATTTTGTGTACATTTCAAGTATATGTCAGTTGATTTTGAATAAATTTCAATAAAATAAGTAAATCGTTTCGTGAGAATTCGATTGAACATATGATGCCTTATAAATTTGAATTTTAAACGCTCATAAAAATGTAATTTGAATATCCAGAAGACATCTTATTTTTATTAAACTTATAAGGAATCTCGCATTAAATATTATATATAAATAGAAACATTTTTATGATTTTCTAACTCAAAATAATTTGCAAACTTTTGTGATTTTGACGAATTTTAAACTTAAGACGTTCATAAAAAATGTATTTATTTAATGAATATTTAAGGTCAATATTTTTTTTTAATTTTCTTTAATTGCAGCTACTTATGATGAACCTATTGTATTCAATATTTAAAGAAAAAATTTTCATCAACATTAATTTAAAAAACTAATAAAAATTGAAAATGTCTTATCCTTGTAAATAGCTCAAGATTAGTTATTTAAAAAATGATATTGTCGTATCACTCACATTGAATGACATCCACTTAAACCTTCAATGATTATTAATTGACCCGGGACGTTACACTGACATTTGTTGTCTCCGTGATTGCGTCTTACAAATGCGTAACAATAATACATTTTAAGCTCAGCAGAGCACGTTTACATCCGTTAGTAAAAAAAATTTAGTAAATTTGACCACTTATGCAATTTAAAGTTAAGATTATTATCTAGGATATAACATAAGATTTTTAAATTTTAAAGCTAGTTATGAGTATTTAAAAATTTTAAATTGTTTGGGTACATCTTAAAATACTCATAACTCGCTTTGAAATTACAATATGATAAAAAGCCTAAGAGATGTTCTAGATAATAATTTTAACTTTCAATTTATAAAAGGTCAATTCACTCTAATTCTTAAACTAACGGAGGTGCTCTACTGGAGTAAAATTTGCTATGATAATGATACGTACGTGAACTATGTCCGTGAACTCGTAACGGTGATAAGTACGATGAAATACGTTTATCGTAGTATGTTTGTTTTTGTTTCTACTAAGACCTCGACGGGTCACATATTATGTATTTTGTATGGTAGTTTAAGTCTCCAGACCCTAACATCACATATTTGCATCACAAATTGCAATTCACTTTTCAGTCCTATAAAAAAAAGTCATGGGCTCAGATAATTGATAATATAGACAATATAGTACATAATATATTATTATATTAATATGTACTAGGTTATATTATAACCTAAAGGTAGCTCAATTTAGTCTTTAAAGGTTGAACGTCTAACGATTGCAAGAAAAAGTAGAACACAATTATTGTTGTCAAAAACACTTTCATTATACATCAATACAAAACATATTATATCTATATACGAAAGCAGCTTGAACTCTCCTAGCACGCACAGCAGCGGCGTTAAATATCAAAATATTATGTTGCCTATCACAATTTGCTTTTTGGGCAATACAACTTTGACAGTGACTTTCATGCTAAAATATTTATCATAATATTGTAACCTGATACAATAATACCCTATGCAGAATACTGTACATATGTTCATATATTGGTATACGTATTATTTAAATTTATATTATTATGTCAATGATATTTATGTTCCTGGTCCGTCCAAATGTCCAATGCGGCAATACCAATATAAGTTAATACGCTTCTTTTGCAATATTCTTGCCCTTGTCCCTACCTATAATGTAATAACTAATAATAATTAATAATAATAAAAGCAATCGTAATGATCTACGTAATGAACTAGGTATACCTACGTGAAATTTGTTCTTATATTTAATGATATTATTGTCATATACCTAGCCGTATAAGTAAAGACCAAATTTTGCATAAAATACATATTGCTATTTTCAACATCATATACAATATACATGCCGTCAATGCGTGTCCACAAATCATTACTTGATTGATTAAATATCAACATTTAATAGTGCATATTTTTGCAAATTCTGACGTTGGTGCATGTTTTGCTTAATTTTTCTTATTTTAACAAAAAAAACCGTACTAATATATAACCTAACGATCTGAAAATACGTTAAGCAAAAAAAACAGATTGTAGGTACGTTTATATAATGTTAAAATCAAATATTTTACATGTTACATTTGTCATTTACTCCTTTCAGCCACGTCATATTATGACAATAAATAATAATAATAAATGTAATAAAAAATATTTACAGATAATAGGTGTTTCAAAATGTTATTTTTTTGTAGAAATTTAATAGGTCAAATTGTAGAAGGGGAGGTATGTAAATTGTAAGACATTGTACTGTCTTTGCACGAATATAATATTATTAATCTTCACTATTTTAAAAAACGTATTCAATAGTAATTAGTAGGTAATATATTATGTACCTGCTACTTTTGGCTAATAGGCTACAACAATATTATTCTTACAATCCTCTATTTAATTGCAATATTGGTCTTTCAAAGAACAAAATTAATTTCAACCTTTACCGACCGCAAATTACATTTACAATTTTAACCGATTAGACATTATTATCCAATCATTAAGCCACCGATTAGATTTGTAATTCACCAAGATCAAAAAAAGTACCTATTTCATGAGGTAGGAGTGTATGCACTATGTTTTTTATTATAACGTATATTATAGGTAAACTGTTATTCTTGAATAAATAGGTATCCATGTTATAATACAAAATTTAACTTAATATAATAACATCTGTAAAAAATAAAAAATAAAGGAACTATTCAGCTAGTAAGTAATAAAGTTGTTTAGGCATTATACATCTGCCCATCTTTTATTTAATTACCTACTCCCAAAAAATATTCCAATTGTACAACAATTAAACTGATTCTGATTATATGAATGACGTTTGACGTGAATATGTTTTCATGAACCCTGTAGTCTGTAAATTTATACGTATATAATATCCGTGTTTTAGGCTCTATATTTATGTTGTCTATAATAATTACAGATTTTATGATATTAATAAAAAAATTTACAGAATTATTATATTTAATTTAGATAACATTTACGTAAAGGCATTTCTATGTATATAATATTATACTGTTTGGTTCCAGGTTTCAATATAGACTCTAAAATAGGTACTAAGGTAGTAAGGTACCTATATGTTCAGTTTTTGTTGTAAAAGTACATATTTAATACATCTATAATTTGTTGTACCTATACCTAATGTATTTTAGAGATACGATCCGATTATGACAAAAATAAAACTAATAAGTAAGTAATCATTATTTTTTTATTGTTATAGCCAAATACCGGGTGTTTAATCCGAATAATAATATAATACATAGAATAATAAATTTAAAAAAGTTCTATATGGGGGGGGGGGAGTGAATAAGCGTGGAAGGTTTTTTGACACTCGATTAACAAACGCTGTGGCTCGTAAGTAATGCACGGGCGGATAGGTGAAGCTATGGTTTTAAGTAGAACTGTGGTGGGTAAGTACACTACTTGGCGACGTTCAATAACTGTCCGACGGTAGCGTCTTCACAACGGAGCAGGGGGCGCATCTATTGTGCACGTCTACTGCGCGCACCGCATAGTTGTGGACGACGTCCCTCCTTCGGTACAGCAACTTGCATTTCATGGGCAACCGACCGGCCTTGAAGTATCGTATCCTTTTCCACCCCTCGCTCGACGGTGTTTCGCCGCGGTATCCGAATAGCTCGTAGCCCGCGACGCGCGCGTATTTTGGAAGCATCGATGCCGTCGACCGCTCGTCCCACTCCAGGGTGACGACGTCGTCGACGACGCTCAGCGTCAGCACGGGAGCTAACGGTACCTTTCCCCATGAACTGTTCGAGTCGTGCCGAGGCACTGGTGGATACGCCGACGTATTTTTCGATACGCCGCTACCGCTTTCGTACACCACCTTAATCGGGATGAAAGCTGTGTTGTTGAGAACGGATTCCTCCGCCGTGTCGAGAACGGCCACGGCAACACCCATAACGGCCTTAGCCATCCTTAACAGTCCACCCTGGTGGACTAGAATCTTCGACGGGCCGCTTTCGTTCCGATCCCGTTTTCTCTTTGACTTGGGACATGGCTTGTGAGTGACCGAGGTCGTCACAGTGATTTTTTTTACCGTGTTTGAGCTGGACATGGAAAAACTACACGTTTTGTTTAGACGAACTACTGGACTTAAAGTAAACGGATGAGAATAAATAATGTAATGTAATATAGTTATTATTATGGGTCTATCGCACAAAAGAAAATGCACATTTTACAGGGCCAATAATATGTTGTGACTCCTGAGTAGATAAATAAAGGTAGAACGCATTGCTAGGGACTTGAAATACGTTGCCGAGGAAAATCTGCTACAAAATAAATAGGAACAACGATAGTATTAGACCTACACAGATACAATGGTTGATATTAAATTAGTCATTTGTTGTCAACACTTTCAACAATATTAAATTACCGTGATATTCGCTGAAATCGGGCACCGTGGAGGTTGTACGTATCTATGTCGGCCAATAAATCTTAAATTTAAATTCAAGTCTAAAGTTGAATGAACAGATTTTCAATTTTTATTATTTTATTTCTTCATGAAATATACTATAGCAACACAACTTATTAGTATATTATATTGTAAAAAACAAACCCATATTGTTCACTACACCGATAACTAATAAAGCCATCACATTTCTGAAAAACATATTCAAGATTCAATTTTACATCACCTAAATTTTATTTTGACTTTAGAGAATTTGAAATTTTATTATTTAATTAATTAATAATTTTATTAAAACGTAGAGGCGTTAAGGTTTATTCCTGACTATTGTTGTCTTCACGAATCATCCTTTTTGATATAGAGTTCAAAATATAAATGGGTTCTTCGGTTTTTCTTTTAACAATCATCCCCTTAAATTGTTGGTATATATTTTGGTAAAATGAGTAGTTAAATTGTGGTGAACATCAGAATTGTTTAGGTTTATAAGCACTAAACCATAAAACATGCACTTTCACAACTTAACATATTTCTTTTTAGCATAATCTGTAATGCTGGTATTAATAAAGTCATCTTATAATAAATTAATAGAACTTAGTAAAACTATAATTCTCTCACTTAATTTGTAACAATTTAAATAAAAAAATTAAAGAAAATTGTTGCAAAAATTAGTCTAATCACTATAGTTACAGATAATTAGAGTTTTGATTTACAGTACACCAAAAATACAGTCTAAGTGTAATTAATAGTTATATTTATTTTTTTACATATTTAAAATCGTTGCGAAGTGAATTTTCCACTAAAATAGACCTATAAATTATTTACTTATTTCATCACTACTATATCACTTATATTTTCTGTCTCTCTAATTACTCAATAATTGTCTCTGGGTTAGAACCACTGATCTAGATTAAATAATTTATTCAAATTTTATATAAATACTTTAAATACTACTTTGTTACATTTTAGAATAATAGATTCAAGACTGTAATCTAAACATTTTAATTTTAATTCTTACACTACTGATAAAAAGTAGAAGTAATAAATTATGTAATGTACATATAAAATAATAATAATATTATTTTATTTATAAAATATTATTATCAAGACACAATTTAAAAAACAAAAATTAATTTGTTTTAAATAATCATAACACAATTGGAAGTAGTTTGTTTTTATTGATAATAAAAATGTTATATAATGAATAATAATAATAATAATAATAATAATAATAATGTATGTGTAAATACTGACAGATTTTTTATAGTAAGACAATAATTAGGTATCTCGGAATATTTAATAGAATCAATATATTCTTTTAACATTTTAGATACAAGTTTTCTATACTTTTCAAATTTAAAACTTTACAGATTTATAATACCTTTAATAAGAAAAACAAATATTCCGAAATTGATTTTGTCAAATAATAAAAAATCAGACTGTATAAATATTTTTATATAATTAATGTATCGAAAATATGAATTAGAAAGGGAATGCTTTTTAAGGTTTAATATAAAATACGGCCTAATCTAAATGTCTTACATCTAAAATTCTTAATACTTCTAAACTTAAATTAAATTAAATTAAAAATTATACGTAATATTATAAGAAAAAGTGCAATTATGTACATATTTATTTTATGAGTATCTAATAACAAAATGTTTTTTTTTTTAATTGTAAATAACATAAATATTATCGGGTTAAACTCATAAAACTTAAACTTAACATAAATGTTTTATTTTTAATACATTTGAATTATACATACATATTTCTATTCATATTGATACAAACTGACATTGTATGATAAAATTAACCGTTTTATACAAATGGATATCATAATAAAATAAATATTATAAATCAAACCATGATAAAAATTAGTCAATGCAATTTGTTAACATTTGCTTTTATGAAAATAGGTAGAAATCTACTATTATAATAGTATATTAAACCATTATTATGGTTCACTTTAATGATCTTTCATTTTACAGTATGTGATTAAATACACCAGTATAGACATGGTGAGTAAGTGACCAATTCAATTTTACCAATATACATTTAAATCAATTAAAATGATTTGTCATATTTAATTTAATTCTCTGATGACTAGAAGTAATATTTATTTCAAACTAATCTTTTAAATGTTCAACACATTTTAGAGAATTCTTTTCTCAAATTATTTCTTAAGGTTTATACATAAAATGTCTTACTTTAAAACATTATCACATAAATTACGATTTATTTAGGGACCCATTTCAAATGGAATTATTTGAAAATTATATTCATATAAAATGACTTATTAAAAATATAAAGTTATTAGTTTTACTGATTTTTTATGAAACCTAGAAAAAAGATCCCTCGAATTATAACGTAACTTTGGCATCAATCAGGTCTAATAAGTCACTTAAACCCCAACAGAAAATAATTAAGATTCAGTCCAAGTTATACTACCAAAATTATTAAAATACATCAAAACATTACATGAATAAAATAAAAAAAAATTAAACACAAATATATTTGGTAAACAAAAATTTTATGATACTAAACGCTTTAAACAAAATATTTTTTATATTTATTTATAATTATAATATAAAAACATGATAATAATACGTAATGATGTTTTCCGTTTTTTAAGAGCTACATATTGTTATTATAATCTGTAAATTTAGAAAAAATATTTTAAATGGTACCAGTTTATACAAGTGGTGTCAAATTAAAAAAGGGAATGTTACACATAGTATATTTATTAAATTTAAATTTAAATTTTTATCACAACTGTTTTGTTGAAAACATTTTATTTGCGATAAGGTATAATTTAAGGGTGGAGAGATAATGTGAAACGCTTATAGGATCTACGGTTCAATAAGTTAGAAATAATATCAAGAATGGATTATTAATGTGTGACTGGTGAAAATAATTTAAAATAAGGGGAAACGACAAAGTCGTTATAAATTTAAAGTGTTTGATTAAATTTTGTTTATCATACTGCTAACGTTATTAATTTAAAAAATACTAATATGGAAGAAAAACATTACCCAGTCTTATTTATTTGGAAACAACAGGTAACGAATCGAGGAATCATCATTTAAATTAAATTAAAATTAATACTATAGGAGAGGGTGTTGGTAGTTCACCATCCTTGAAGTCTGAAAAAAATATTAATTATATTACAGTAACAAATTTAAATGTTATATCAAAACTAATAAATGTTTACCTCAAGTCATCCTGTTTGCTGTGATTATGAATAACAATTGCTCCAGTAAAACTGTCAATTCCGGGGTCTGCCATCTGGCATTGATGGTCCATAATGATGTTCGTACAGACCTGAAAAATGTATTTAAGTATATATAAACTAGGTTAATTCAAGGTATTAATTGAAATACAAGTCTACGGTAATAATGCATAAATGATTTGCAAAATAAAAGCACATTATTATTAAACTATGATATAGAACATTATGAACCATAAAATTTAATGAATTTATAAGTACTTATTTAATTAATTACATATAAATATTAATTTGTTATTATTAATAATTGATACCTTATTACAGATTATTGGTTCTCACTGAGAGACCAAAATCGTCTATGGAGAGTTGATCTTTGCATTATTTCTATCCAATTTCTAGTTTGAATTAATGTTTAAATACTATGTAAATTATTTTGTAACTTTTATTAATAACTGATTTATGAAAGTAAAATGTACTTCAAATTAACTCGAATTATATGTAACATCCTTAAAATATAATAGTAATAATTAAAAGGATTTAAAATAGCAAACCTGAGAATTGTTAATTGTTACTTGAAAATCTATAAAATGTTACTATATTTAAAATGATTTTATGACATTTATGAATGTAGTTAAAAATGTCATTACGTGCATGTTGTAATATTAATCTGATACTATTAATCTACCTTTACTTGTTATTTCTTCCATTGTCAATTCAGTACATTCGGCTCCTGTATGATTCTGTCCTCCACAATTATAGCATGATACTTTTGGAGGATGATAAGCCAACACTTGAGGTTGCATTAAAACGGGCGTTGTAGTATAAAATGTTTGTGAAGAAGATGGATAGTAAACAAATTCAGTAGGTTGTTGATAAACTTGCTGATACTCGGGAGATTGAACAACATGTTGTTGTGGTATATATTGTCGTGGCATAGGAGAAAACCCTGACATCGGTTGAGGAGTTTGAGGCTGATGAACATAATACGCCTGAGTATTATAACCTCGAGCACTTGCTCCATTATCATATGCCATAGTATAGTATTGTTGACCATTGTTAGGTACTTTAGGATGCGTTTTATGAACATTTTCCCTCGCAGGTTCATTAAAGGACGACATTGCAAGTGCTCCTGCCATAGGTTTTCTGAAATAAGTAAAAAATATATACATTTAACTATTTACCAAATATTTTAAAGAATGTTAAGGTTAATTAAAAATGACAAGAAAAACTGTTAACCAGAAATTAAATTATTTAATTTTTAGCTAGGTATATCTCAATAGTTTTGTAATAATAGTTCTTATAATATTTTAATTAGTCTTATGTAAGAGGACTCTACACACGCATTTATTGTCTGTCTTAAGCTTAACATCAGAAATGGACGCTCAGCAGATCAAGTTCAGTTTCACTAGTTTACAAATTTGAGAGAATCGACTCTTTATGAAACTTATTGGTAAGAATATTATTTGTTTGAATGTGGGTTATTTTTTCGATATCAAATTGTTTAGCAAGTTTTGCATAATATAGAATAAATTAAAAATTCTCATAACTCTCTTACAAATTGAATTATCACAAAAAAAACCACATATAAACACAGATATTTTTTATAGGTCAGTCTAGTATTTTCACCCAACTAAGCTAAACATGAACTGAAGAGCGTACATTTGTTATTTCACAAATTTGTAAGACAGAGACAAAAAGTGAGTGTGTAATATCCTCTTAATACTATTAAGAATTAGACCAAATTGATTGACAAAAAAAAACAAAATATTTAATATTAATTATTAACAACTATACAGTTTAC